TTTATTCAGAGCAATCAGTCTAGATGCTGCGAGAGCTGAGACACTAGCAGGGTCAACATACCGACTACACAGCTTTCGAGCAACCATAGCAATAGCATCACATAAGTCCTCTGAGTCTTTTGAGAATGAGGAGCAGGCCTTTTTCCAGTGTGATACGTCCATTCCAGAAGGACCAGCAGCACCATCCATCTTCATTAGCATAGATCTAACCAGGACACCATCAATACAGTGGAACTCAATAAAATGAGGTTCATGATCAGGAGGTGGAGTAGACACTAGGAGAGAGTGAGAGGGAGAGATAGGAGCCGGCTCTGGGTGTTTCTCAACAAGTTTGTCCCTTACAGTAATGGACGGGTTAGAGGCACTAACAGGAGTGTCAAGAGATAGGGGTTGACCCGCCTGAGATCCAGCATTGTTCAGTAGACGCAGGGCAGCCTTAACTTTCCCTTGAAACATTGATTTTTTTCAGGAAATGACTGATTTTTAAAATGGCCATAACTCTAAAAATTTAAGTCGGAATTAGCTCAAACTTTCTACATAGCATAAGTACATCAATATGTATCAGAAAATATAATAAAAATTGGAGGTGATTTTTTAGCCATTTTTTGGCAAAAACCATGGGCTAAAGATGAGGTCCTCTATAAAATCTGGTAAGCATAGGAGCTCGTTTTCCCGGTATAGCAAGGCTGCAAAAGTCATGGCAGCCATTTTGTTTGGGGATGAATCCTACTTAGTAACGCTACCGCATTACTAATAAGTACAAGGATTTTTTCAGAAATTGGCATATTTTATAAAATGGACATAACTTGAAAAATTTAAGTTATAATCAGCTCAAACTTTCTACACAGCATAAGTACATCAATATGTATCAGAAAATGTAATGAAAATTGGGTGTGATTTTTTAGCCATTTTTCAGAAAAAACCATAGGCTATAGTACAGGGTATTTTTCTTAATTGTATATACATGCATTTTGTAAATTTTGCACTACTAAATTAAGAGAGTGTTGAATCCCTCCTCATCTTCTCGTAGGGTCTCAAAATGAAAAAGATCAAAGAACTCTGCCTGAAGGAACTGGAAAAACTAGACAACGATCAACTTCTATCCATTGTAACTGACACACAACAGGAAGAAGAAGAGAAAGAAAATGAAGAGAGAGACAGAGAAGAGGAGGAGAAAGAGGGAGAGGAGAGAGAAGACATTGAAGCCGAAGATAGAAGCAAGCAAGATACTTTTACTACATCATCAGCTCAAGATCAATCATTATCAGAGGTAGAGGAGGGAGAGATATCCCCTTGTTATGACCACGCCCAGTCTCCGCCCCTCTCACCTCCATCAATCCACATCAGTGACGTGAGTGACGAGGAATACAAAACTCAAGCATCACATGATCAGTCATGTGACCAAGTGATCGAGTACGAAAAGGAACAATCTTTTGATGAGGACCGGGTATCAATCGGAATAAGTACAGACACCAAGAATGACGATATTCATTTGAGCAAAATTATTAAGGAAGAGAGAGAAAAAATTAAAGAAGTTAATGAAGATTGCAATGATGATGATGATGATGATGATGATGGATGGTCAAAAGATGTTTCTGAACAGCAGAAACTATTAGAAATGAAAATTCGCAAGAGACTTCTTGAGAACCAAGTCAAGAGACTACAAGAGAGGCCATTACTTCAACCTGAAGGAACAAATCATCATCAGAATGTGAAGAAGCAAAGTTATCCTCAAGAGATCAAGAGAGGAGAAGAAACTGGTGATATAACTTGTGGTGATAGTCTGAATAATAGTGAAGTGCTTGAGATGAGAATGAGAGAGAAAGCACTGAAATCATTATTAGCAAACAAAAGGAGTTAATTATTCAAGCAAAATTAAATTCTCATCAAAAGGTGTGACTGGTTGACACCTGACAGAGGATGCTACAATACTCTACACAACCAATTGCTATCACCTTAGATCAGGACTGGTATCAGTCTGGATCATACTGATATCAGTCCTGAATCATGGTTTTCGTGTAATCAGTCATGATACAACTGCAAAAATCAGCTATGATACAATCATGATAAAATTTGTACTGATCCATGACAGAATATCAGGCATGATCTATAAAATAATGTGTCAGGGCTGATCATGCCTGGATCAGCACTTTTGCCCCAAAATAATGGACCATGTCTGATATCCTATACTGGTACAATTACCATTTTGGGGGCTGAACATCAATTAAGTTATTAAAATGGGTGTGGTTTGATACAAAAATGGCTGCTAATTTTACAAAAAAATGGTGCTAATCTTCTATTGTTGGATTCAGAGTAGTTTTCTTGTCTTTTTCTCTAAATAAAATGAAGAATTGATGACTGCAGGTCTAATTTTACTGATAAAAGTCAGTTTTATTTTCTTTATTAGTCAGTTGCAGAGAATTTCTGGGGGGGGGGCTCAGCCCCTCCTGTTTCAAGACTGGGGGGGCTTTAGCCCCCTCTGCCCCCCCCCCTGTTCCGCCGCCTATGAGTGATGGAGACAGTGTCTTCCTGTTAATGTACAATCAACTGACTTTGCTTAATGTGTTGTATTTTGGTGGATCTCTATTGATTATTGGTGCTTACTCTCTCTTCATGACTCTTGCTTTTGAAGGTTGTGATAAAAGAGGCATCAGTCTTATAATGATTGCACAGACTGCTCTTTGGAGGAGTAGGGTTTACTTATGGAACACGTCTTACCAGTTCTTAGGAGGATTGTAAGGATTGTACATGTATATGCATCAGAAAATCTAATAAAAATGGAGAATCCTCACCTTTTCATTTTTTTCGAAATTTGGCAATAACGTTTGTCGGATTTTGGAGTAACTTTAAAAATTCGTAAAAATTCCAAACTTGATCGGAATCAGCTCAAACTTTCTGCGCAACATAAGTACATGTATATGTATCAGAAAATGTAATAAAAATGAAGAATTCTCACCTTTTCATTTTCGGCACAATTTGTCCTGATACCATGTATTGATTGACCCCTCCCCTCCTCCTCTAGGAGTCTATACAGTACATTTTCATCACCTTTTGCTGACTCTCCCAGTCGCCCACAGGACATAGATACATGTATATTGTACTCCTGTTAGTATTATATTAATACAATAGATTATCCTGTACCGCAAGAATACCTAATACACTCTTATATAAGGGACAAGGTACGTATATAGCATGTACATGTACATTATATTAATTGTGTATTTTATTATGCTATGTGCAGTTGGCTCCAATCCGTTTATCAAAGTACAATGAAGACCTGTTGTTTTATCTTTACTATACCAGTGGTGAGGACCTCCTTCAATTACTAGCAGCTCATGAACTGTGAGTCTATCAGTTAGTACAGTCTCTATTACTAGTAATAATACTGGCTGTATAGAGTATTCGTATGTATGTATGTGTAGTCATTTTTGAGACATTTTTGTAGTTTGTTTCATTCAAATTACTGTATATGATGTTTATTAGTTACATGTATACTGTATAACATTGTCTCACAGGTACATTAGGGACTGGCGCTATCATAAAGAAGAGAAGATATGGATCACGAGAGCTCCTAACATGAGACCTACTAAAGTTGAGACGACATACGAGGAAGGGACCTATTGTTACTTTGATCTTGGTACCTGGAGGAAGGCTCATAGAGATATGAAGGTGGAATATGACAGACTAGCTGAGAGGCCCTCCATACCTCCAGCCATAACTTCACAACAAATTGTATCTTTTGTGTCTATGAATGCATGATACAATATTAATAATGCCATGTATAAAATGACCAACTGGCTGTATGTAACAATTGTATGCGACATAAGTCACGTAATACCTTTAGAGCTTAGTTCATACATTTGCTACATACTTTCTGCTGGCATTCTTCCAAAGTAATGCAAACTGTATGCCAATTTTCGAAGACTGCCAGGAAAACAGCTTGAACTTATAGTATTAAAATTCAGTAGAATTTTGCAAACACTATGTTTATTGTAAACACTTAACTGGCTGCTACATAAGGTATGTGCATCACTTGCAAATAGTTGTTTGTTTATAAACAACATATATTTTTATAGTTTATAATTATAATAAGAGTAAATAATAATTGTTATAAATTTGTTACAAAATCACAAAGCCTTGGAAATTTGCATCAATTTGTCAACCATTTCAACTGTTTCTTTATTTTTGATATGCTGGCTTTCAATTAGCTGACCTAAACGAGCAATAGTCTCATTGGGTTTTGGATGAGCTTGAATATTTCTGCAATGCTTGTAATGATGAATGGCACGATAAAGTTTCCCATCAATGCTTGGGAAGTCTGCACTCAATTTAGCTTTATTTTGCTTTGCTCTGTGTTCTTGTTCACTTGATATGAATATATCCTTTGAATGACTGCAGTGTTCACGCTTTTCAAGTGCGTCATCAATATTTCTGATTGTGATATAATCGGTTGAAATACCTGTTCCATTCAAGACATATGCCACTATCTTTTTTTCTACAGATGAAGCCAATTCACCTATCAATAGATTCACTTCACCCACTTGAAACTGCTCCACTTTTTCCTGCAGGTCCTTGATCTTCTTTTCTGCAGTGTCTAATTGTTCAAACAAAGTCTGCACTACATTTTTTAATTTTTCAAGAATAAATGCAAATTTATCGACTTCAAGGTTCTCACCACTTTGAAAATATATGATTAAAGAATTAAGTACTATGATGAGATCCTCTTTAGTATGAAGAAATGTTTTGCTACTCCAGGTGTCAACCTTTGCCTTGCACTCGTTGAGAGAGAGAACAGGCTGAGCAGCCCTGCTCATTGATCTGCTCATTGATCTGCTCATTGCTCTGACTGAATTGTAACTACTTGTAACACCCAGATTATGCATTATATACATATATATATACAGGTAGAAGCCCGTCAAAGGCAGGGCTATACCCGGTCTCACCCAATTTTACAAATACATGTACATAGCTAGTTATTAATAGTTATTAGTGGTTATTATAGTTATTATTTTAATATAGAGGAAAGAAAGGTGATTAATTAATTAGGTAATAAAATATTAATGACTATTATTAATAGGTCATCCTCAGTTGGTGCTATTGGTAGTAACAATAAGAATGTGACCAGAAAGGCTGCAGGTAATTAATAATTAATTATTATTATTATTGTTGTTGCTCTTCTTCATTCCTCAGTTAACGTACCTCCTAATATGGTACAGGATCATTATGGGATGGTTGGGTTTTTAACGTTAATTAGGGGGGCAGAAACCGACCCTAATTTAGTAGCACTAGCACTGGGCAGCTACAACACCACTGGACTATATACACACACTGAACTGTAGTAATATCACTAATGGTTATTGTCATTACATGTACATTATGTATTTCTCTTCTTTTATTATTGGACTCGCCACGCTTGTGTAGGTGGGTACTATGCAGTTGGGTTGTCATTCTGTCACAAAAATTTCTGTTAATTCCTAGTCAATATCTTTTTTATTGAGCTCTCCTGAGTTATAATTTTTTTTAAGCTTTGAGAAAAAGATAATTTATTTAGCTCCGTTGTATTTTCATAGCAATCCGTGGTAGCAAAAGCTGAATATTTTCAAGAATAGACCACTTTTCCTAGCCAAATCTTCGTGTTTCACTCTATTTGGTCAAGATTAGTGTAATGAAGATCATATTAATACAACAAACAAGTGAAACGAGAGGAAAGGAGAGACAGAGAGAGAGAGAGCCATACATTCATTGAATCACCACATGCATACTGAGCATGTGCATTACTAGGTACACAGTATTTACAGTACACACACAATGTAAACAATGATGTCCAGTCACTTCATTACAATTAGCATTGATAGGTAGAGAAAAGTACCTAGATTAAAAAATATATGGGAATTTTCTACCCTCTTTTTTGTTTGCAAGTTACAGTTGCTCAAAGTTTGTGATTTATCCTCTTCGAAAAATTTTCAAGCAGCACTGGGGAAAGCAGGAGCAACCAAACTATCTCAGTCTCTTTTAAATATCTAGGCAATTTTTTGTGCTAACTCTTTCTTTGAATAGAGCTTCAGATGCTAAAATAAATTTGAGCTTTTCTTGTTTCTCCTAACCACGTGCCATGTTTATCTGCCCTGCACCGCACTGCTAAGTGCTGACCACACCTATAATTTATTTTATGGATCAGTGCAGTAATTGCATTGTTGCAGTTTACTCAAAATCTATTATCCTTTTTTTCAAATCTTATATATACTAGACGAATGTAAAACATTAAAGGGGCGAGCCTAAGCAAGCTGTAGATTATGTGCTGTATGATATACATGTCAGAGCTAGCAAAGCAATTGCACATGTCTAAATTCAGTATCTTGTAGTCATCTTGCTTAAATTAAAGTTATCTTGCTTATAGTTAGAAGCAGTCACTGAAAAAATCATGTTTGAAGATTGTATATCTGCTTTGTTAACCTAGGCTTGCTCCAAGAGAAGAAACATGGCCTAGAATAGATGTCATGATACAAGCAGCTATAGACCCCTTTAGGCGAGAAGTAGCAGCTTGTGAATATCATTAATTTTGCAATGAATATCATTATATCTCAGTTACGGTATACGCCCACATACAATAATTGGCCGCCATGTTTTACGTCAAGCAGCAAGTGCTTTCTGTGTCCTGGAGATCTTGGTCACTACATTTTGAAGCTAAAAACTATTCTAGAGTCAAGAAAGATGCCAAGAGAGCCAACCTAGGAAGTATAGTGTAATACTCTTGTTGTATGAGCCTGCTTTCCTCTTTGGGCTGTGACAGAGAGTCAAGAACTGATCGTTCTGGCTCTCCCAGACTTCTTAAGTCTTCAAAATATCTTGCTATAGTAAAGAACAGTTGATATGAAGCTTCTCATAGTCCTGAGTTCAGCACAACAAAAGTTTTATTGGCAAAACAGCTCTACTTTGCACATCAGCCATTGGAACTCTGCATAACTTTGACGTAAAACATGGCGGACAAAAATCCGTTCAATATTATTTCTTTGTATATACGGTATCACAAACTAATTCTCGCCTAAAGGGGTCTATAGCAGTACAGTACATGCAGCTTTCTCACTTGCATTCAACTTAGCAGAGTCCTTTATGCCAAGGAAAAGACTGTATATCTGCTTTTCCAACCTTTCTTCTTGCTAGAGAAGTTCTTAGACAGCAGTTTAGTCTTATCTTGCTGACCGTCTGCTGCAAATAAGCTCAGACTTGCTGATGGCCGCCATTTTATTCATTGTGACCACACCCGTTTTCATTGAAGATTAGGCTATTTAACTTTAATGATAGTTAGACGACCCTATCATGCCCGTACATACATACATACAGACGCTTTCTCGCCTTAGTGGGGCGAGCTCAGGCTCGCCCCAATAAATTAATTTACTAGACGAATGTAAAACATTAAAGGGGCGAGCCTAAGCAAGCTGTAGATTATGTGCTGTATGATATACATGTCAGAGCTAGCAAAGCAATTGCACATGTCTAAATTCAGTATCTTGTAGTCATCTTGCTTAAATTAAAGTTATCTTGCTTATAGTTAGAAGCAGTCACTGAAAAAATCATGTTTGAAGATTGTATATCTGCTTTGTTAACCTAGGCTTGCTCCAAGAGAAGAAACATGGCCTAGAATAGATGTCATGATGCAAGCAGCTATAGCAGTACAGTACATGCAGCTTTCTCACTTGCATTCAACTTAGCAGAGTCCTTTATGCCAAGGAAAAGACTGTATATCTGCTTTTTCCAACCTTTCTTCTTGCTAGAGAAGTTCTTAGACAGCAGTTTAGTCTTATCTTGCTGACCGTCTGCTGCAAATAAGCTCAGACTTGCTGATGGCCGCCATTTTATTCATTGTGACCACACTCGTTTTCATTGAAGATTAGGCTATTTAACTTTAATGATAGTTAGACGACCCTATCATGCCCGTACATACATACATACATACAGACGCTTTCTCGCTTCAGTGGGGCGAGCCATAGATATTATAGACTACGTAACCGGGATTGGAAACAGATCACGTGATCCCATTCAAATCAATGTAACTATTCAGGTACAGTCTCTGTGACAGTGAGAGGCGGACGAAAATGCCTGACATGGCTGGAAAGAATGGTCTCTAGTGAAGTCCCGCAAGCTATTTCACCTGTACTTGAGCTCTTATAATATACGCACATGTTTATATTTTTCTTTGATACAAAAATAAAATGTGTTAGCTGTGTAAAAACAGGTGTTTAAAGTAAGTGCGCTCCCCGTGACAAGAGATAATGTCTTATTCTCCCTCCTGCAAACAAGCTTTAGCTACCCCAGTTTCATTTTATGATTAAAACTATGCACAAGGCCATGCTAGATGAGAATAGACTGGTTAGTTCTGCCTGCCATATTACTGAGAGCAGAAATCCACCAAAATAACGCCAAAAAGCGGCCGATCTGTTGTACCTCTCCCGAGCAAACTAAGCATAGAGACACGAAGAGAAAGGTACCATCGTGATCTCTGGTATTTTCTTTATGCGATTAAGCTACTTAGAACCAACTACATCACAGTATAAAATTAATACAGCTCATCAAACATAACAATTCTTCATGATTTTCACCATTTTGATGCAAATTCATGCAATTTCATGCATTAATAATCACACAGTCTGTACACGTGACGTTATCAGTTTCCAATCCCGGTTACGTAGTCTATAATATCTATGGCTCTGGGTAACGTGCAGCTGCGTTCAAGGCCACGTGTTAATTTTAACTCGCTCTAATTATTCGCAATGTTCAAATTTTC